AAAAACAAGATTGCAGCATGGTGTCTGGTGAAAAATTTTACAAATTATAATCAAACTATATATGGTTTAGGTTTTGATTTCTTCAGGAAAACATCAAGACTTTCAGTAATGTTCAACTTTGGGCATGATGGTGGGTAAAACAAAATACGCGGCCTGGCTAACTAATGAACGAGGTTTGCTGTAAAATTCTTATCAATGCCAATTTTGATTTCCTTCCTTTAAGTCGCACACTCAATCGTTTTTAGGTCGCAGCTTTTTTTTTTTTCACACCTAAAGATGTTTTTGATAAAATCTAATAAAACACAGATTTATTTACTGTGTAACAAAGTCCTTTTAAAACGTGAGCGAATTTTCGTCACACAAATACACGCGTTACTTGTAAAGTTTTCTACGCTTTTATTTTCGAAATGTAATGTTGATTTTAATGTCGAGCTTGATTGATTGATTCAAAGTATTAAAAGGCTAATGTTGAACTTGTTATGGTCAACAGCTCCCATCACTAACTATTCTAATCGAATAGAGGGATTTAACTATTACTCTTATAATTCACAATGGCCAGGTGGTTAGGGCGCTCGACTCGCAATCCCCGTCACACCAAAAATATGCTCGTCCTTTCAGCCGTTGGGGCGTTATGATGTGACGGTCAATCCCACTATTCGTTGGTAAAAGAGTAGCCCAAGACTTGGCGGAGGGTGGTGATGACTAGCTGCCTTCCCTCTAGTCTTACACTGCTAAATTAGGGACGGCTAGCGCAGATAGCCCTCGTGTAGCTTTGCGCGAAATTCATAACAAACAAACATACTTATATTCACCCACGTTCCTAACTGCGGAGCGCGATTTCTTTTCTTTTTTTTGGTGGTAAATGGACTTGAACCATGGACCCCATATCCACAAACCATTGCACTAGGCCACGCCGGGCTCGGTAAGGTTGAGAGCTTATACTGTTAAAAGTCGAGGTTCAATTCCTGCAGTGGTCACCTTGTGTAGGTTTGCACTTAAAAAAATAATGTTATATAACTTTTACCGGAGTATCGATAAATATTATCAACTATTAATTGGTTTTTAGTTATTGAAAACCAAATTAGGGTTGGTTATATTGAATTAGGCCTACATCACCTTTTATTAAATTTCACTGACTTTTGTGCATAACATTGGTGTCGTTGTCATACAGTTATAATGAAGTAAGTGATTTCATGAACTTATTTGATAAAAACGATAGTAATGATATTTTATTTGGTGGAGTAATATTACAAACATAACAGTTGTTGTCACTTCATATGTGTTCTTTGTTAAGTTTTACATTAGTGTCATATAGTGGAAAGTGGGTTAAGTTTTACTCTAGATACTAAGTAGATATCATATGGTGGAAAGTGGGTTATGTTTTACTCTAGATACTAAGTAGCTGTCATATGGTGGAAAGTGGGTTAAGTTTTACTCTAGGGACTAAGTAGATGTGATATGGTGGAAAGTGGGTTAAGTTTTACTCTAGGGACTAAGTAGATGTGATATGGTGGAAAGTGGGTTAAGTTTTACTCTAGGGAC